AAAAAGTTATCAATCGGTATACTGATATGTCAAATAGTAAATATCCAGTAAATATCCTATTGGTAACTATTAATACCCGATTATACTCTATTGAATATCCCGATTGGTACCTGAGTATCCTCCTTTTGCGCCATCTTTTGGCAGCAATCAGGTTTACTGATTGATGAAAATTTTTTAAAAAATAGGAACCAATCGGGTGGAATTCGGTCACCTGATTGGTCCCCGATTTGACATCGTTCGACTAGTGTATTATACACATATCGGGTACTAATATATATATCATACATATATCAGGTACCTGATAGGTATACTATATATATAAGTACCCGATATGTGTATGATATGTGTATTATTTGTGTATGATTTTCTACATTTTGAGTATCCGATATATGTAAGATATGTGTAGGATATGTGTAGGATAGACCATTTTTTTACCAGTGATCTAAAATTTTTATGAATGTTTAATATAATAAAGACTGAATTAAATGATCTCAAATGGTCAGTACAAATATTCAAGTATACCATTAATTTATTTGCAGTTATTCTTAATAATTGATATAATAATAAAATTACTATATATTTTATTAATTTGCTTAATTTTTATTTTACTTATATAAAACAAATAAAAAAATTACTAACTAAACTATTACTCTACTTTATTTTATATGATTGTAGTAAATTTAAAAATCAAATTTAATGGTCCTGTGGCTGGAACAAAATAATCTAAGAATCATATAACAGTCTTATTTACTTGTAATGCAACTGGGACTGGAAAGTTGTGCCCCTTATTCATACACAAATATGAAAATCCCTGGGCTCTAAAAAATATTAACAAAACTACTCTTCTAGTAAATTATTATTAGAATTCAAAAAGTTGAATGCAAGTATTGATCTGGAATGCATATCTTAAAAGGCTTGATGCTCAAATGAGAATACAGAACTGAGATATCATTCTTTTTGTTGATAATGCACCAACTCATTCTCTCAATGAAAATACAAAATTAACTAATATTAAAATTGAATTCCTTCCTCCAAATACTACTTCACACCTTTAGCCATTTTCAAGGTAGTTGAATTCATACTTTAACTTCAAATCTACACCTTACATCTTAGTAATTTCAAATCCTTTTATTAACTATAAAAAATTTAATTTTATTTCAGGCACAATACCAAAAATTATTATTGCGAAATCATGTTAAAGCCTTTGATAATTATAATGAATTTGGCATTAACCCTGTTGAAATTAATATCAAAAAGTGCATCAATATGTCACATATGCATGATAATGTTACTCAATCTACTATTAAAAATTGCTGGTTAAAAGCAGATATTTTATTTAAAGATAATGAAAGTGAAATCAATATGGATTTCTGTGCTGAAATACAAGTTCTTCTAACACATACGAATGAGCTGAAAGAAGTTCAAGATTTAATTGATAAACTTAATCTTGAAAATCCTTCAATGTGATGAATCTGAACTTACAACAGAAATGATATCCAATGAAGAAATTTTGAAAGTAGTTCTTCCCAATAATCATGAACAAGAGGTAGAAGAACTAAATTCTGATTCTTTACCATCCATTACTCATAGCGACCATTGAACATTATGATAAGGTGATTTTGTATTTAAAGCAACAAGAGGATAAATTTGATATGAAAAAAGAAGAAATAAGATGCATTAAAAAACTTAAGAAGGAGGCATTAAAACAATGTTTTATTTCTGCGAGACAAACGAATCTTAATGATTTTATTAATTTCATTAATGTTTACAATATATAATATAATAATTGTATTACATTTAATAATAAATAATATAAATATATTATAATTTACATTTATTTACATAAATTTACTTTAAAATATTTAACGAATTTTTAATAAAAATTCGTTATATAATATTCCGAATTTTGCTATATGGATGTCAGTTAAGGTAAATAGATAAACTGTACTGTACGGTCAGCTAAACTGTACTGTACGAAAATATTTTAGCCAATCATAACTCATTGTATACTTTTCAAATTTTTTAAATTTTTTTTATTTATCGTACAGTAAAATCTGATTGGTGAGTTCTCACTTCGTACAGTACAGTTAAGCTAACCGTACAGTACAGTTTATATGTATACTCTGTCAGTTATAGTGTTACCGAATTTTTCCATAACGAAGGTCAGATCAGCAAATTCGTTATAACGCGAGCCAACTGTGTATATATATTGTGAAACATTTCAAAATTAGCCAATAACCATACATTAATATTGTAATTAATATTGTAATTCAAAGTTAAATTAACTATTTTTTCGTCACATTTACATTATTATAAAATCGACAAAAATGATCGACAGACGGACAATAGGAATATAAAATAATAAGCTAAGTTATATGTTAAGACCCCGTCAAGGGCTCCTAGATGGACCCTTTTATAACCCAACCAAACCAATTTTAATTTCAAAAATTATTTATATATAAAATTTGATTTTTTGAAATCCACACAATATTAAATAACTGCCATTATAGGTCTAGAAAAATTTACTACGTGATATAAACTATATTTTTAATAGTAATTAATATTTAGTCATTATTAGTTGTGTTATTAAGTTGTATTGTTACTGAATGATTATTGTTATTAAGACTTAAAGGTTCTTCAATTATTTTTTCATTATTAAAATCCCAATTGTTTTGACTTCGAGGTTCTTCAATTATTTCATCATTAAAATTATCAATAGCCGTATTTGTCCATTCAGAGATTGACAATCTTTTCTCATGTTGTTTCATTGATCTAGGAGTATGTGGTGTAAGTTTAGAAAGAAATTGAGATGGGGAATCGCTTGTATCTATCGTTAATAAGGATTTTGTTTTACTTTTTGTTGGCTTCTTTTGATTTCTTTTATTATTTTCTTGATTAGGTTTGCCCTTAATGACTCGCACAATTTCAGCGTCAGCGGTAATCACGTAAGATAAGAATATATTTATTAAACACTTTGCTGCAAGTGTTATAGGAATGAAGCTTTTGCTCAAAGTATAAAGGTCTGCAAGGCCAAATGCATGAAAGATAAAAATTACTAATAATCGTAAGAAATTCCAGTATATAACGACAGTGAATAAAGATCGCTTGGGGCGTCCTATATTTGTGGATAAACCCGCAACATTTTTATTAGCCTTTTTTAATATAAGAATTAAACGGACGGTCACATATATATCAATGAAAATTTCAACTAATATCTCAGTAATCGAATAATATCGTAAAGTGATAACATTAGGGACACAAACTATTAAATTATTCTCGGAAATAGATTGAAGATCTGGTCTTTGTAAACCGAGTTGAGGGACCTTTTAACAAGAAATTAAAATTTTTTTTCAGCAATTTTTTAATTACGGTAAAAAAAAATCAAGAATTCTACTCACCGCTAAACAAGCTCTGATCACAAATAATATAATACCAATCCATTTATCTGTATTTTCATCATGTACTTGTTTTAATTGCCACAATAAGAAAGCTGTTAATGCCACTCTTATGCTAACATTACCGATAGCTGCTAGGTATTGAAGAGATACGCATTGAGTTAGTGTGGCAATATGAGGAGTCATATGTGTGCCAAATACACTACCAAAACGCAATATGTTGGCAAAATTTAAAATTATTTTAAGAAAATTCAAAATTTTTGTTTCGCGAGCTTTGTACAAAAATATCGAAACGATCATATTATGTAAATTTATCTGAAAAAAAAAAATTACGTATATATTAAAATTCTATACGCTGTAAATTTTTGATTTATATATACCGACTATACTTTATACCATAGGAAATAGTAATAAAACTTCGATAAAAGCATATGTGCGATAATGCGAAATGAAAGTGTAGTGTCTATTCTTAATAGAAAATACTATTGCCTGCGATATAAGATACATAGTATATATATATATATATAACATTGTATAGCTTACCATCACGGTTATCCCAACAATAACTCCAATATACGCTTGTGTCTGAAAATAATCCATTTTTTAAAAAATAATTGAATTGAGGACAATTAACAAGGACTGAATAAAACTTCGAAAAAAATACTCCAAGTAAATATAACATATTTATATAAAATAATGAAGAATAATTTAGATAAGTTGTAAAATAATGAAGAATAATTTTCGATAATTGTGAATGCAATTTGAGACATTACTTCCGAAAAGAAATTTAAAATTATTTTTAGAATAATTTTTAGAAATCAGTTTGATAATACAGAATGAAAAATATTATTGCTAAAAAAAAAATAAGGTCATACAAACTTAACAATGCTTATTATCGGAATCCGGCAGTTACAGTACAGTATTTCTTTTTATGACCTTAGTGACCAAAAAAACAAAAATTAAAAAATTAAGACTTGTTAATATTAGCATCCATTTTGTATTAATTAGGTGGTAATAGGAAGACTGTAAATAAGCATAAACGCAAACTTACGCAACCTTAGTACATTTACGACATAGATTAGAATTTTTTTAGTTAATACAAATTAGGTTTAATACTTTGTTTTGGCAATATTAAATTTGGTGTTAAACAACCTGAATTTGATATCTTGACTGGTTTTACGGTAATAAAAAAGTCCATTTATCATTTTATTGGTTTATCCATTATTTATTAATTCCCTTTTAGAGAAACTGTTCGACATAATTAGATAGTATAATGATTATCAAGAAAAAGAACACATAGCAGCTATGTTACATTTGTTTACGCGTACAAATTTAAAAATAACGGAAACTTTTAAATAAAAAATGATAATTTGTAGTACACATTTCCATATTAAATTTTGTTTTTTGGGGATAATACTAAATTTTTTCAAAACAATAATTGGATCGGCACAATAATTTTAGTTATAATACCAGAATAAATATACACATTTTGCTGTTAATGACGCTATTCCGATAAATGATCATTTTTCTAGTTTTTATTCCGAAGAAACTCAGACACGTGATCATTTTTCTGAAAAAATTTTTATAGGAATGTGGGAACGAATAAAATTTTAGAATTTAAAGGACACGCTCCAACTTCTCATAATTATTTTTTTTCATTCAAAGCACTCAAAGTCTAAAATCGAAATGAATTTTATTCAGATTCAAGCATATGCTGGTTTTTGGATTGGAGCAGTTATAATAGTAAGATATTAATCTAAATGATTAATCTTTTTTAAAACTAAGCGGTTCAACGAAACTTTAAGTTCAAACCCTATAAAAAATTTTTGTCAGATACACTCCAACTTTTCCTCGAATTTATTAAAAATACTCCGATTATACTGATAACATTCCGATTATATTTCAAATTAAAATTTAGAAGTTTTAATATGATAAAAAGTATCAGGAAATACTCTGAAAAAAATTTAAATTTATAAAGATATTCCGATTTTGTATTCAAATTGAAAATGTTCCGATTATATCCCGATTATTTAAAATATTTTATTAACAATATATTTTCAATAAGGTGTAATCTTCTCTATCAATGATAATGTGTTTATTTGATAACACCTTCCACTAGTTATTTTGCTTTAATACAATTTGGCCCATATTAGACCTCAATTAGTAACGGTAATCATTAATCTTTTAAATGGCAGGAAGGGTCTTTGAACGCGTAAGATCTGGTGAGCTATTGTCCTGTTTTTTATAATTCATTTATGTTAACGAACGGTACTAACAGTTCATTTTTTTTTCTTTTTTTAGTGATTCTTTCAGGTCTCTGGAGTTTGGGCATTTATAATAAAGTATTTTAACAAGATGGCTACTAATGAACATTTCATTTTTTTCTTTTTTATTCTTTGGAGTATCCGGACATGTGGGAAATTCGGTGAGTGGGTATTTTTCCTTTGAATTAATTCTATTAGTTAAATGATTGCTAACGTCTCGTGTTTTTTATCTTTTAGGAAACTTTTCAGCTCTTTGGACGCAGGATTCGGTTGGTTTTTAATGAACTGTTACTGACAATTCATTTTTTCTTATTTATAGATAGCCGGTTCCGATTTCAAAACGCTGGAATCATAGTTTTTGGAATCTTTCAAAAACTAATTTAAAAAAAATGTTGTATTAACACTTCTTTATTTCTATTTTGTAGGAATCTGGTCAAATTTTGATTCTGGATCTCAGGTAAGTTTCGAAACTTTAATAAAAAACGTTAGTATGACATTTTTTTAGGTTTTGGCATCCTATTTTTGGTCTATGAGCGAAACCTTTTAAGCTGAAACCCTTTAACCAAGAAGCTTTTATCCAAGGTATCAATCCACACACCTCTTAAATGCAAAAATATCACACCACCTAATAAAAAACTCAAGAAAGTGGTATCACTATTCACTACCTACTCCAATTCTAAATCACAATTAAGTACATCACCCGATATACCAATATCTTCAAAAATGGATGAAAATACTTTCAAATTACAATCAAATATTGATGCTTGGTATCATCTGGTACATCAATTTCTGAATCATTTCCACATACTGATATTGCTATTTCATCCACATCAATTCCTGAATCATTATCAAGTACGGTTCTTGCTAAAATAGAAACTAATAACGCCCAATTACCTTTACAAGAAGATGCAAAAAAATCCTGTAAATTTAGACTTTTGTTTGTACTTTTATATTTCTAATTTCTACAACAATGCAGGGAAAAGAAGGTCAACTAAAATGAATAACGTGCTACTTTCAGATAATATCTTGCAAGTATAATTGAAGTATATCTTGACTGCATTCAATAAATTTACTTTCGGATAATATCTGTGTAAATCATCATAGGCGAACTCTCTGGTAATCAATAATTTTACTACTTTTATCCTTTTTATAGGTATGCATTCGCAACATGGTCATTTCGATAATTTCATATAAAATACGTAAAATACATGCTTCAAATATCCTTAAAATTATTTTCGATTTTGGTCAAATCTTGCGCATGTCTACTGTATATGTTTGTTTGCCTTGTATGTGACTCCAAAAGATCCTACATTCTTTCAATGCAATATCCTTATATATATTTATATATCGGAAATAGCATACCAAGATTATCATCAACAGCTTTCTTATTATGGCGGATAAGGCGAATAGATATGAGCGGGGGAGACTGTGATAAACGGATATGCATTTTATTATTAGAGCCGCATTTATGGTAAATTTTCTGTTAAAATATAATATTTTTCTTCCTCTCTCTTTTTTAAAACAATAATAACTGAATGTCGATATCAATAATTTATTTTTATAGATTCCATACGTAATTTTTTAACAAGCAACTGTCACATCCCTATAAAAATGAAATGTGTTAAATTTGTGTTCATGTGTAAAAAACGTCCAAAAAAGCATCAATTTGTCCAATTTATGTCTTATTACAAAAAAACAAAAATTAAACAAAATGGTGCTTTTTTAGACATTTATTACACATGAGCACAAATATTAAACAAATTTAACTCATTTCGTTTTTATAGGGCATATATTCAACGTTTATTTGTAATTCAGATGTTACTAGGGTTGTCCCTTTCATAACTGGAGGAACTATCGTGGAATTTTTAGTTGATATATATGTAACCACACGTTTAATCTTTATATTAAAAAATGCCAATAAAAATGCTTGTATATGGGTTTTCAAACGAAGTATCAGATATAACTTCAAAATTCATAGTAATCATCATTATGTAATCACCATTGATGCTGAAATTGTTCATGCTATTGAGGGTAAAGGTCAAAAGAATGAATTGTCAGTGAAAACCATTCAAACTTCTATTTTATCCTCTAGCGATCAAACCCACAGCCAAATTCTTGATAATGATAGAATAGTAGTTGTGTCAATGAAAAGAATTTCATTCTTTGAATTGTAATGGGAGATGAGGATGAGAATACTAAAGATAATGACCGAAAAATTAATGAGCTAAGACCCAATTTATCAGTGTATTTTCCTAATTATTTACTATTTTACTTAACCAATAAATTGTTTATATAATTTCAATAAAGTAAAGGTTCATAAGTTCAGGTAAGATATTTTGGATAAATTTGGAAGCCATAGGCCGGTAATCTTCATGGAAAATGAGAGTACGTGATCCTTATTGATTATTTAAATCACAAATTAATGAAGATAAGGTTTTCAATAACCTTCTTATAAACAGGATTGGGCTTCTGTTCCTCATAAAAATAATTTCTACGTTGCCATTTATTTTCTAGGAATGTAAATGTTTAGGATAACTGCCTTTATTTGTACTTATAACCTTCTAAACTTCTAAGAATGTATTGTCCGTAAATTGTTCGTTAATTTGAAAAAAAAATCCAAAAATCGTAGAGTCCACGAAACCCATTTTACTTTATATTAATATATTATTATTAGTGATTAATATAATTAATAGACATAAGTTAACGGATCCCTAAGGTAGATTTCTTTGCCTTAATTCTTTCTCTATAAACGAAATTTTCGAAATTTTTAATAATTAATGATTTGATAACTAAAAGGAGAAGAAAAGGAATATTAATCACAAAACGATTTAAGTAATATTATATTATATATGTTAACTAATTACCGTTATTTAAGTGATAAAAAGTAGAGACATTATTTTGCATATATCAGCAATCAACGTGGTATAAACATTTAATTTTCTCTTATTCGTTTCTAATAAATAAATTTTAAATTTAAAAGACATGCTCCAACTTTCCTAATTTTTTTTTCCATTCAAAGCATTCAAAAAATAAAATTTTATTCAGATTTAATCATGCATGCATGCTTGCTTTTGTTTCTGGAGTAGTTATTATGGTAAGACCGTGTTCAAAGTAGGGATTGGAAATCGATTCAATCGAAAATCGAAACCCGAGAATCGATTTAAGAATCGATTAATCGTTTCTCAGTAATTTTACAAAAAAATCATTTTTTTTAAACATTTTCGTGATGCAACGCTTTCGATGATCCCGGCGGCACAAAATTTTAGGTGGATTTTAACTAAAATACTAAAATAATTTTTATTGTAAAATTTGAAAAATTTTGATTAAAAGTAAAATGATTTTATTTTTGCACTGAATAAAAACCCTGAAAATTTATTCGCTAAAGTAATTATTATATAAAAAGTCAAAATGTATAAATATGCAGTAGACATTTTTGGCCCGCATTATAGAATTATATTTAAATTCTGGCCAAAAGATGATCCAGGCCCCTGAACTTCAAATTATCAATTAATAAAAAAATTTTTTTTTTAATTAATTAAACATTAGCCATAATTAACTTGATTGGATAATGTTTGATTAAATTCTAAATTGTCTAATTGTCCAATATCCAATTATTATTGGTCAAAAAGCCATCACAATTGTTGAATTTTTCGATTTTTTTTGTTAATTCTGAGATTTTTCATTGTGGCGTGGTTATAGAATATATTTGCTGCGCCAAAATATAATTTTTAGATTCGATTAATCGATTCTATTAGTCTAATCGATTCCAATCCCTAGTTCAACTATTTCTTCCATTCTTACCATTCTCATCTCTTATTACAATTTTTTTGTTCATTCTAAGAATGACAATCTTTTCTAACACCACTACTATTTACTGTAATTTAGTAACATTAGCGTATATAATAATCTTTCTTTTATAATATTGTTATAAATTTTTTATAGCATATTGATATATATTACGCAAGATGTATGAGTAAGGCCCTCCTAACATACTGATATTGTCCTATTAAGATTTTTGAACTGTTATATAATTTTACAAAGAAATTTCTAAGTTCAGGTAAACATGTTAAATGAATTTATAGTCAAATCAATCATTCAAGTCATAGGTACTAGGTCGGTAAGCGCAAATGCGAATTACGAATAAATTCCAGTATATAATGCCCTGTAAAAAATCTGTTCCGTGTTTTATCTTTCCATGTTTTTTCCGTAAATGTATCATTTTAATGGAATTTATAGCCTTAAATCATGGAAATTTTCATCTCGCTAACACGGNTTCCGTGTTTTATCTTTCCATGTTTTTTCCGTAAATGTATCATTTTAATGGAATTTATAGCCTTAAATCATGGAAATTTTCATCTCGCTAACACGGATATCCGTGAATGTATCATTTTCACGGAATTTTTTACAGAAGACACGGAGAAATAATGGAAATATTCAGATAAAAATTTTTTATAGGGATGGGAGTGAACATTGATCGCTTGAAGCGCTCATACTAAATTATGCAGCATAATTACAATGATAAATTCAAATAATTAGTATCGTGAAGTGATTACGTTGGTTAATTATAAATTATTTTTAGGAACAGATGTAAGACTTGGTCTTTGTGAACCGAGTTGAAGAATTTTACGATCACTAATAATTTATACCATCATATTATAAATTGAACAAAAATTATGTATATTATTAAAATTCTATATACGGGGACACCCGTAGCAAAAGGGGATGGTATACTTATTACCGTTGGCTGGCACTCAAGGTATTATTCAAGAACTCGATATTTAAACTGAATAGTACCCGTGGGTACTCCGGGTACTATATTTGATTGGATATAAATTATATGAAAAGTAATAAATTATTAGAGGTTATACCCGGGTATTATTCAAGAATTAGGTAGCATAATACTCGGGGGGGGTACTATTTTTGGAGGATACCAAAAAAACATTCTTTTCACTAATAATTTATTAATAAAATTATATTTTCTGAAAAGTGAGGTATAATCATTACTGACAAAATCTCAAATTTGAATTTTGATTTTTAATTTTACTAAAATAGTAAACTTCACAAATTTGGAAAGCATGCTTCGGTAAAAAGATACTATACTGTATACAATGACAAAATCACATAAAATTAAATATAATAATTTTTATTAATAGAGGATAAGTGTGATTGATATACTGTATATGAACTCATCATGGACAAAAAACTCAGAATACGTTTCTCGAAAACATTCCTTTTAAAAATTATTTTGAATGTTATTTAGATCTATGGATTAGTGTTATTGTGTTAATGCAGAATAGAAACATGTCCCACCATTTCGGTTCTCGACCACCTTAAATGTATCTAACTTGATATCGGAAAAACAGATTTAGATTAGAATTTTTTTTTTTGAATAAATACAAATTAGTTCATCGCTGTTTTTAGAATTCTGCTAACATGCAAATTACTAACAAAATAAAATTATTAGATTACAGGATCAATATGTCCGGTAATAATCGTCCTGTAATTATAATCGCAACGTACACAGAAATCTGAAAACTGCACTTGTTTATTACAGTGTTAACCTTAATTCCTGGTGCGTTAAACCCGAATTTGATATCTTGACTGGTTTACGTTAATTTTCGGTATAAAAAAGCTCATTTATCTTTTTACTGGTTTATCCTGGAGTCATTTTATTGGTTCCTTTTAGAGAATCTGTTCAACATAATTAGATATATATAATGATTATCAAGACAAATACAAAGATAATAAATTTAAAACTTTTAAATAAAAATAGATTTACAATGCATATAAATCTTGATCTTGGCCAAGTATATGGATTGCACATCAATAATTCTTACATGGGAAAGACATAATAAATATACTAATATACTCGTTTTGCGGTTAATTTAAGCCTATTTTATCTAATGTGGAACGGATAAAATTTTAGAATTAAAAAGACACGTTCCAACTTCTCTCATAATTATTTTTTTTATTCAAAGCACTCAAAGTTTAAAAATCGAAATGAATTTTATTCAGATTCAAGCATATGCTGGTTTTTGGTTTGGAGCAGTAGTGATGGTAAGATATTAATTTAAATGATTAATCTTTCTTAAAACTAAGCGGAGAAGTTCCAATCAACGAAAAATTTGAGTTCAAAGTGGGCGAACCCTCTAGTGTTAAATGTTAATCAATGATTTTACTACTTTTATCCTTTTAACAGATATCCATTCACAAACATGATGTTTCTATAATTTCATATAAAATACGTAACATGTTCAAGTATTCTTAAAATTTTTTCAATTTTGGTCAAATCCTGCGTACTTTTGGAATTATTGGCTTGTATATTACTCCAAAATTGCCTACACGCTTTCAATACACTATCCTTTATTACATTTTGTTTTATCGGAAATATTAAACATACCAAGATTATTATTAATGGCTTTTTTATTATGGCAGGTAAGGCAAATAGATATGAGCAGGAGAGAATGGGATAAATGGATATGCATTTTATTATTTATATCTAGAGCCGCATTTTTGGTAAATTTTCTGTTAAAATATAATATTTTCTTCCTCTCTCTTTTTAAATAATAATAACTGAATGTCGATATCAATAATTTATTTTTATAGACTCCATACCTACTAATTTCTACACAAGTTACTTTCATGTATATTCCTGAAAGTGAAACGCTTATTTGTAATCTCATTGTAACTAGAATGGCCCCTTTACATAGTTGGAGATCTGTCGTGGAATTTTTAGCTGATATATATGTGACCGCACGTTTCATCTTTATATTAAAAATGCCAATAAAAATGTTTCCAAATTGTCTTTAAGTATAGAAGCAAGAGATCATTATTCACAGCTGTTATGTATTGGAATTTTTTACGATTAATAAAATATTTTATCTATAATATTTGGTTCTTGTGAATGCATATGGTTTTTTAAACGAAGTATCAGATATAACTTTAAAATGCATAGTAATCATTTGGTTATCTTATGTAATCACCATTGATGCTGAAATTGTTCATGCTATTGAGGGTAAAGGTCAAAAGAATGAATTGTTAGTTCAAACCTCTATTTTATCCTTTAGCGATCAAACCTACAGTCAGATTGTTGATAATGATAGAATAATAGTTGTGTCATTCTTTGAATTGGCAAGCATTGTAATGGGAGATGAGGATGATGATAATGATGAGAACTATGAGAGAATGATGAGAATACTAAAAATAATGACCGAAAAATCAATGGCATATTAACGGAAACTTCAAATATGGAAATCTTTATCCATTAATTTATAATGTATGGTGCCAGAAGTCTATAATCGACAATAAAAATGTAACACTTAAAAATCTTTCAACTTCTTAAAAAAAAATATAATTTAGAAAAAATAAACTGGTAACTTTATTCTTTGAAGTAAGCTCTATCAAAAGATTTTTAAAAGATCTACATAAGCATTTGAAATTGCATGATTTTTATATGATCAGCCCAAATTTGAAACAAAATATGTTGGCCAGAACTTATGATAATTTGGGCTGAATCCATACATTGTGATAATGCCAGCCTAAATTATTATAATATGAATCAAATGTAAAAAAAAAATTTTTATCAATATATGACTTTTATGAAATGGTAGTTGCGATTTTATTGCTAAAATCCAGTTTTTCTTATGTTTTATCTTGTTTGTAATAAAAAATTTTCAAAAACTGCATTTTATTAGTACTTTATACACTGAATTCCGGATCACATGATATAGAATCGGCTCAGAAAATTGAACAAAATCACATGATTGTCAAGTATACATATTTATTAAGTATAGAATGTATATAACTGTAATGCTAAATTATTTGGCTGTCCGGCTTCACATAAACTGTAATGCTAAAGTATTGTCCTAATTATTTACTATTTCTACTCAACCAATAAATTGAATTGTTTATATAATTTCAAAAACAGTAAGTTCAGAGTAAGACATCTTGGATAAATTTGGAATATTTTAAATCAAATATTTAAGTCATAAGTCGGTAATCTCCGTGGAAATAGCGAGGGCGTGATCCTTATTGATTACGCCATCGTTCTGTGAAAATTCCCATTTAAGTCAGAATATAAGGTTTTCAGATAAGTAGAAACATCATCTCTTTAACTTTCTTGGAAGGACCCAATAAACAAAGATATAATTGGGCTTCGGTTCCTCATAAAAAAAACATGAATTTCTTTTTACGTTGTCATCCTATTTATTTTCTAGGAATATAAATAGTAAGGATAAAGTGTCTTTATTTGTATTTATAAATTCTTCTAAACTTCTAAGAATATAAATAGTATGACCTGATTTCTAAGTTTCAGAAAATAAATAGTAATACAACCTCCTTATCTTGTTCACATCAAATTAAGGTATCACGTTACTAATTTTCGGCCAAATTTTATAATATTAATTTTAGAAATGCAAAAATCCAATTATTTAGGACTTTAAGCAGAAGTGCATCAGAATAAATTTTCTTTTGAAGAAAAGAATTGGGCATTTTTATGACATTGAGAAAAAAAAAATAAAAATAAAAAAAATAAAAGAAAATTTAAATGAAATTAAGGAATAAAATTTAAACCTAATTTTAAATCTATATATCGACTTAATTACTAAAGTAATTTACATAATTACTTCAACAAATAAAAATTTATGCAAGAGAATGTACCAGAAAAGGTCAAGAGTTATCACGATGTGATGAAATCGACAATGATCGTGTCTGTTAACGATATGAACTAATAATGTTCTGTAATATTCCAAATATATTATAACTTAGAAGTAGGCCTGAAGCAATTAGTTACCTTTGTAAATTGTTCATGTACAGGAAATCAAAACTATTTTCATCAAAAATAAATTAGAATTAAGTGACTCAAATAAATATTCTAATGAATCTAATAGAATCCAATTTATTTATTTTTTTTTTTTTTTGTTATGTTTGTATATCTAAAAGAATGCATTGACTATCTTTTTCTATATTAATTCTTATGTACCTGTGATCAAAATAAATACATCATCGCTTCCATTTAAAGTTATCATCATTTTCGTTATTTGAAAAATGAAAAAATTACAAAAGAAATAAAATGGAAATTTAAATGATGAATTAATATGAAAGATGTACAAAGAAAATGAAATCGTTGATAATAAAAAATAATTTTACAAGAAGTCTAATATACAGAAAGAAAAAGTAAAGAAATGAATAATGATAATGTTTCTCCTATAAATATACATTAAATATGGTAGGTAAATAAAAAGTATAATACAATAAGACGCAAGTTCTAAATTCTTTTTTAATTGTTCATGAAGAGAGATTGTTCATAAATTGTTCATTGATTTGAAAAAAAAAAATATCCAAAAATCTTGAAACCCACGAAACCCATTTTACTTTACATTAGTGATTAATATAATTAATGGACATAAGTTGACGGATCCTTATGATAGATTTCTTTGCCTTAATTCTTTCTCTATAAATGAAATTTTTGATAATTAAAGGTGTACGTCCCGGTAACTTTTCGGATATTTGAACGTAACTTATGTTGGGATCATCTTCTCTCAATTGTAAAATAAGTCTCTCTTCTTCTACGGTTAACGGTGCCTTGTTAACTAATAAGGATAAGGGAAAAAGAAATATAATATTAATTACAGAACGATTTTAAGTAGTAATATGTCAAAAACTAATTACCGTTATTTAAGTGATTTGTCCATCTAAAAACGTGAGAAAAAAGTATGGGTAAAAAAATGCGCCATGACATTATTTCGCATATATCAACAAACGGATTAAATTAAAATTACCTTTCTCGGCATTGCTTTGCAGTACGATTTTGGATTGCTTCTTCAATAAATTTCCAAGATATTTGTTGGTTTGGATAATGAGTTTTATATCGTTCTACCTCCCTACGAATTTTTTCGTCTTCCTATAAACCAAAATGCCAAAAAGAAAATAAGTTAAGGTAACAAATATTAACTAACGGCTTAAATGCACGTGAAATTCTTACGTTTTATTGTAAGATTTTGATAAATGTATAGTATTAAACTTCCACTTCACTTACAAGATTATTCCAAGGACCTTTAATAATCGTAAGGTTATCACTCATTTTCTAAACGCTCTATGACTAAACGTTTTGCGCGCTTATAACTTTATGATCTAATTACAGTAAAGTTTTTTATATGAGGTGGAACTATTCAATTCTTTAGTACACAAAAAAAAAGAAAAAATTTATAAAATATAAAAGTGAATTTATAATATTTAATGAATTGGTATTAAATATATAAGGAATAAAATTGGTTAATTTTTTAACCGCAAAAAAAAAAAAAAGGGAAAAGGTGGGTGTTACTGGGTGACTGGTCTCTGAAAAATTTTATTTTTTGAAAAAAAAAAAAAAAAAATTCAGCAGACTATTTATATTAACTTTCCTTTGAAAGATATCCAATTATGGTTAGAGTTTTTATGTGTGAGATCATTGGATCAGTTGATAACTTTGTGTCAAGAAAAAACTTTGATCCAAAATAGAAAATTTTTTTTTCGTCCCATTCCTTTGTTACATTCAAATTTATTCTATACGACTATTCCAAAGTTTCTGTATGGAAAATAGAGGTTACTGCGTAATAATGGACTGAAGCAAGTATCCTTTCAATTGGTGGCTAATAAATATATATAATATTTCTTTTAACTTAACTAGTATAACTAACAGCGGATTTATAGCTCCGGCCCATAGAATTAACCATTTTTGGAATGTTTGCAATTGGATTTCCCAAAAACATTGTAAAAAATGTTAAAATGTTTGAAAATTACGTAATTTTATTAAAGTTTTCAATTTCAATTTTAATCCCTCAAAAAAAAAAAAAAGCAGTGACAATGCTTGAATATGATGATTGTTATATGTTTTTTGAAAGCTATTGTAAACAAGCAACGTAATACATGTGATTTTGAAAGGGAGTAAGTTTATACACCAATATAACACGACATATATATATATATTTGGGGGAAGCAGGGGAGGGTTAAGATTAAGTAGTGTAAGGTAGCAGAACTGTTTCACCACTTTTTTGGTGCCCCTGCAACAATTCCAAACCTTAACTTTGACTTTCACCTTACGCCCAGACATTTTTTTCGAGGAATTAATGTGTTGAACTCATTTTGTCATATTTGTATAATGAGTCTTTCTTTTTCATCAGGGGAATTTGTTAACTAAAAAGGAAAGGAAAAAAATTATTAAAGATAAACGGTTTCGGGAACAATAAAAAAACTAATTACCATTATTGAAGTGATAAAAAATGTGAAAAATGAAAATGTGTTATGACATTATTTCGCATATATTAACAAGCGGATGAATTAAAATTTTTAAATATTCAATATTGTTTGCTGTATGGTTCTGCATTGCTTCTTCAATAAAAATTCCAAGACTTGAGCAAAGAGACTACTCGAATGCGATCGTCTTCCTATAAATTTAAACGATTATAGTAAAATAATAGACGGATTAAGATGCACGTGAAATTCTTACGTTTTATCGAAGGTTTTTTTTTGAGAAAATGCGCAGTACTACATTTCAATTTAACTTCTATCCATTTACAAGTTTATCTCATGTTCTTTTGTTCTTTTATAATTTTAATGGACTTAGAATTTTCGCTCATTTCAAATACTTGTGTTCTTATTACTTTACGATCCTATAAATAATAAAAGTCATTGAAAAAATAACAATTATGTTAATATACATTTGAACTCTTTACGAAAATTTAATGGTTTGGTTATTAAATATCTAAGAAATAAAGAAAGAGTGGTGACTAATCATGGAAAAAAAAAATTATATATATATATTTTTTTTTTTTTTTTTTTTTTTTTGAAAAGGTATTTATATGGTTTCACATCAAAATCCAATTATGATTAGCACTTAGCATGGATCAGTTATGGTAAGAAATCCAAATAGAAAAAAATTTTTCTATGAAAATGAAAATTACTACATAATTTGACAAATAATGAACTATAGAAAAACAAGAATAACATCCTCTTGTTGCTCATAAATATTTTCTTTTAACCTAAATTAGTACGTCTACGAAATTTTAACTCCCCATTCATTGAATTAACCAATTTTGTAATGTTTTGGAGCACATGATTGTTATTTTGAAATTCCCAAAATACTTTGTCAAAAGGATAAAGCCCTGGACAATGATGTGGCTAAACAATAAGGCAACGTATTACATGTGATTTGAAAAGGTGATTCATTTAATTCTAATCCTTCATTCTAGTTAAGCGACTAAGTTTATATTTTATACCCCTAATATAACACAACATAAGAACATTCTAATTATTATAATCATTTTTTTGGGGAGTAATACTACGTAGTGTAAGGTGGCATTAAGCTGTTTCACCACTTTTTGATACCCCTGCGACAACTCCGAAATATTATACTTAATTTAGTTAATTCACTTATCATACTTAAACCAAATTTAGTCGATTAAAACTGTTAGTTTTATCATAATATATTATATTATATTAAATTTAACGCTAAGTTTAATATATTGTATTTGAGGATAAAACAACTTTAACAACTTTAGAGTTAATATCCCAAACTAAAATAAAAATAAGATATCTCGTCAATACAATTATTTCATCTTTAGTCACTCAATCACTCAATCTAATCGAATACGCCTAAATGACTTAATGTTGTATTTATACATGATCAATGCTATCTATGAAAAATATGCAAGAAAAATTTTCTTCTCTACTTTTATTTTATATATATATTTATTATATACATATATATGTTGTTTCTTAACGTAAATGGATGGATGCTCACTATAACTTATTGATCTCCAGATTATGACTTCATGAGAATAGACGGATTTTTTTCATATTCTCGGTTATTGAAACTATATCTATTTGCATCAATGAAGCAAAAAAGAATTTTTTTGGTGAATAAACCCATTATCCACATCAACTTACTTCAATTCTCTTCAATCAAATTGATCAATAGATCCAATCTTCAAGAAATCAATATAATTAATTATAATTAATAATTAGCTGAGTATTCATTTTTCAAGTAAATATATATGTGTATATATATATATTTTTTTTAAAAAAAAAAAAAAGTAGGGTAAAATCAGTTAATATTCATAATATTAACAATTTTAATGATTATACTTTAACTAATAAAATCCCAAGAAATACCATTTTCTTTAACTCAATAATTTTCAAACATTTCATGATTTAAATTCTTTATGCTTGAGAATAATGTTCATTACGATTTCCTGCAGCCCATATAATATTCTTCCTTTGCTGTTTATCAAAAAATAAACAAAATGAAACTTTCAATATATGATGTGATTAATTACAATATATTTTATCAAATACACCAATTGTTCAATCATACATCTTCATTATATCCAATATCCATTTTTACATCTGCGAGATAACGAGATGAGAGTACACCAACCGAACTTCGCTGACCAAGCTCGCATCGACGAATAGGATTAAGTCTTGAACTTATTGTTGGTCTAAATTTCATGTGTTGTTCCTTCATATCTAAAAAAAGAAAATAAAAAAATAAAAAAATGGTTAATTCGATTCACAATTTTTAATGAACTAATTTTCAAATGAATTACAAAAATGTTGCTTACTTGATAAGCGTAAAGCCTTGTCTTCACTGGACATTAATTTTAGTTTAATTTCACTTCCATAATTTGTGGGGACAATTCTTGATGGAGTTTTGAAATGTGGGGGAGAAGGAGGAGCAGATTGAATCGATGCAGAAAGTGGAACGAAATCTGGTGTAGAATTTGCGTACGCACTTTTTGACTGTAATGGACTTTTAATGCTTTGTAATGATGAACTGTGTGATATTGATTTAGTTGTTTTATTTTGTGAACTACCTTCTTCTCTTTGCTTATCTTCAAAGTATCTTGTTCTTGACGAAGATCTTTTTATTTTACGGTGACGATATCGATGTATTGATGATGTATGAATGTGAGATCTGATAAATTGATAATATTTTTTAAAAAACTTTTTTCTAAGGGATAATTTTTAAGCTTAAATGTACCCACGATTTAAAAACCTTCAGTAACTTACCCTTTTTTGTATTTACCATTTACTAGTTCAGGTATATATCGCGTCATAGCCCAAACAATAAATGCTCCCACTAAAAGTAACCAAAAATTTGGCGTTTTTAGTAAATTATTTGCAAACTCAACCATATATGTGCCATCAGCTTCAATAACTGCGGACGTAAAAACGTTCGTGTCCATTGTGTAAGAAAAAAGTAAATGCTATAAAAAGTGTGTAATATTTAAACTTTTAATAGTAAAAAAAATATTATTATTAAAAATATATATATATATTTTTTTAAAAAAAAAGTTAGCAGTCTTTAGACTTCTTTAATATAATAAGTAAACCGTTAAAAAAAAAAATTTGGTTTACAAAGTAATGTTTGATGATTTTTTTTTTAATTATCTTTTATATGTAAAAATTTAAGGTTCATCACAGAAGTTCAAACAAGTTTTATTGGTGTTCCAAAGTGTAGATCGTTGTTAATGGTTTGAGTAGTTACGACGTGACCGTCTTATATTACTTGTGGCTTATTTCCTTTTCAAGTTCAACACATAACCGAGGATTTATCCTTCGATGCCTAATTCAGGTATATTTCTCGAATAAAATTCATTTCCGTTATATATATTTAGGAAAAAAAAGAGAGAGGGGCGAGGTAAAAGTTTTATAATATAAAAATAAATTTAATGAGAGACTAAAATAATAAGGTTTGAACTTTTTTATAATAATGATACGGCTGATATAGAAAATTTTAATTCAAATCTTTTTATGGCCTTTTTCAAATAATGAAGTCATTGTTTTAATAGATTTGATCATGTGATAAATCATTCTTAGCCATCCATCGTTCTCGAATTGTGAAATTGTCATACAACGCTATCAATAATACTTTGAGAAAATGAGAATTATTATTTTTTTTTTTCAGCCGATCTTCGAAAAAACGTGTGTATTGCATATTGTGATTGAATTCATACAAAATTTCTATATCATGTCTAATGATTTAAACAGGATTAAAAGCCTGAAAGTACAAGTCAAATTATAAACAGACGTAACCAATCAAGAAGAGAAAAATTTTTTTTTTTTTTCAAATATATTAGATAATACCGCACAGACGAACAGACCGCAGTATTAAATTTTACTTTCCCGCAATTTCAAATTTTACTTATATTAATGTTTGATATTATTATATGACAAATTCCTACTATATGTCTATACTCAAAAACTCTAGCATTATTCTAAAAAAGTGATTCCAGTCCAAGGATAAGTTGTATATATTTAACTCTATAAACAGTTATTATAATTATCTAATGAATAAATTTTTTTTATAGTCCAAATTATTTATAGTCCAAATTATCAATAGTCCAAATTATTTATAGTCTAAATTTATTTATAAAGTTCAAATTATATAAATTAAATTTTTATGTTTCAATAAAACCATTTTCATATAAAAGATTGGTTAATTCTCCAAATTTTAATTCTTGTCTTATTTCTTTAATTGTCTCTTCATCACCACAAAATCCAATCTCACATTTTAATTCATCAATCTTATATTTTAAATCTTCAACCTCTCTTAATGTTATTTGTTCATATTCATTAAATCTCCTTTTCATTTCATCCAAATTCTTTGTATAATTATCTAATTTTTCTTCATATATTTCATTAAAATTTTCCAACCATTTAATTTCAACCAATTGAAATTTCTTATTATTATTAATTCCTGATATATCAATATTTTCTAATGTAGATATACCTTTTAAAAAGGAAAATTGTATAGATTTGATTTTTTGTTGTAAAAAATCCAATCTTTCTTTTGATTTAGAAATTTGTAAAAGAGAATAATCTTTAAAAACATTTATCTCAGTTATTAAACAATTATATTGATGATTAAATGATATCGTATCGGAATAGAATGCTTGCTGTTTTTTATACAAGTTTTTTTGGTATGTACGAAGTTGATTTAATTTCGTTATTAAATTGTAAGTTGATGTAAAAGGATTTGGTGAATCCGGTGGTGTGAGGAAGTCCGATAAAGAAGGATTTGATAAAGAATAGTAAGATGAATATATGGATGAGGTTGACGAAGAAGAAGAAAATGATGATTTGGAAAGATGCTTTTTGTAACAATAGTTACAACCTACTACAGTAATATCATCATCGTCTATTTCTTTTTCTTCAATATCATTAATTAAAATCTGTTGTTGAGACCCTTTATTATCATTTACGCCAACAAAGCGTACAACAACTCCACCAACAATAAATCCTACCGTAAAGACTGTTGATAGTAATAGACTACTATTTGATGATGATGACATACTGTGAGTGGGAGTTAATTTTTTTTTTAAAATTATAATTATTATTTTATAATAATAATTATTATTTTTTTTTTCTTTTAAAAAGAAAGAAAGAAAGAAAAGAGAGGTGAAAATTTAAATAATTAGTTATTTTTTTTCAAGGTTTAGAGTGCATAAATAGGTCATGTACTTACATATTTAAATATCCAAATCCGTTAATCTAATTTGTTATTATATTGTAGTCATGTAGAATTACAAATGTGCGTACATATTATTTTATTCTTGCGCAGATTTGTGAATCGCGAATGACAAATTCTTTTGTAATAAATTTTTACAAAGAAATTTTTATCCCTCGGTTTCGAAATTAACTCTCTAAAATTGAAAGAATGAAAAATAGTTTTTATTTTTAGTATTTAAAAAATAAAAAAATTTAGTTATTTAAAAAAATACATGTCGAACAAATTTGTGTTACTTTGTAACTCATGACTTCCACATGACGATTATTAACCAACCATAAAAGAGTTCTTATGGGAACAAGAAACTCTCTTACGAAAAGTTTACTTTTTTATTATTAATAATATCAACCATCAACCAATAAGAATGTGTATTTGAGTTTTTATGATGGGTTATTTTTAGAATTAATAAACTAGAATAAAGAAACCACCATACGGTATATGTATATCTGAGATTAATTAGAAAATAAACTTTTTTATACTAATCCCTTATTCAATACTTACCTTTTTAAGTTAGTTAGTTGGCTTGATAAATTAAATATTTGTAAAAATAAAAATGCAAGAAGGGAACAAAAGAAAAGAAAAGATTACCTGTAATATCTACTAACAATTACGTACATTACGTCATTTACAAAATGCATAAGCTTACATACTAATTATTAGAAATAAAAGACCTGTATTTAATGGTCATAAATGATCGGTGTAATGATGATAAATCGTCACGATACGAAATCTAATGCAGATGACTTGACAAATTATGAAATTTTAATCTTGGCACGTGTATTTTTATATATAAAAGGATATAATGCAGAGAATAATATTACGTTTAAAAAAAGTTACCCCTTGAACATTTGATCGAACAATAACATGAAGTTAAAATAATTATCTTGTAGCACGAACGTATAGTAACACATTAAATAACCAATCGTTCAACAAAACCTATGATTTTTTTTAAAAAAAAAAAAAAAAAATCATGATGACTGATGATTACAATTCATAGTTAATTTACCATAAAATCTTACATACAGTATGATGAACTGATGATCAACCAGTAAATATCAAATAGTGATATCACGACTATCACGTGATCCAAATAAAATTTATATATATATTATATATATCTAAAAAAAATTATGTAAGAAACAGCTAATGCAAATTGGTATCTGTTAAACTTGTATTAATAAAGTTAAGTATATAGTAAATAAATATTGTTCTTTAAAAGAATACTTTATTAAATTTGCATTACCTATAAGTCTGTAATTAAGATTGCAGGTTAAACTGGTTTTTAAATTTGATAAAATATCTAAATCTCAGTTTTGGCAATTTTTTTATAGATTTATTATAGTTTTGCCATTTTGTATGATTTTTATAGTTAAGTTTTATAGTAACTATTATTATACATATTTTTTTTTTTATAATTTAATTAAATTTTACAGTATTTTTTATTTAGATTATAAAAGATATTAATTTAAATTTTAATATTAATTTAAATTTTAATATACTTTACTTGTAATAAAATTACTTATTTTATAATTTTTAAAATTATATTTACTATGAAATTTTGCCTGTAATTTTACCTATAACAATAAGTAAAATATGTTACTGTAAAAAAAAAAATACTAGCAACAGTTTAGAAACTATTAATAATATATGTTTAGTAATAGAAATAAGAATAGTAAAATATATTTGTATAGTATATTATATACTATATATTCTACTTTTTATTTCAATACTAAAATTAATAATATTTAATATCATACTATAATAGTTTTGAAATTGATTTTATATTTTGCCAAAATCTGAAATCTGAAAATATCTTTTATAGTAAATGTATTTTAATAATTTTAGGATATTTATCTTTAAAAAAATACTTAAAGATTATGTATTCTACAGTCTGCTATTAAATAGTTTAATAGTCAAAATTATATCCAAAATTATTTGAATTCTTTAACCTGAAATATATTAAATTATATAGTTATTTTAAGTTTTTTATATAAAAATATTTTAAATCTGAAATTCTTGCTAAAATTACATTTTTTCAAAAAATTAATTTAGGAGTTATCTATAAATGAAATTAAAAAGATATTCTATATTAATTGATTTATATTCATTTTATTCTAATTTAATATTAATAGTGGACTTTTAATCATAAGAATTATTATAATAACTATAAATTTTTTATTAATCTGCAGAATTGTTCTTCTATTACTATATATATGTATATGCAATATATGTTTTAAGTAAGTAATAAACAAAATTTGTACAAAATTTTTAAGGTAAGGACATGATTCAATAGTATTTTTATATATTTCTTTAGTAAAAATTTTTTTATATTAATTTTTTAATTTTTATGATACATAATTTAATAAATAATTTAGTTGTTACAAGTGCATATGGTTCTTTTTCAATAGAATTTATCTTAAAAAAGAAAGATGAAATCACCATTCAACTACTAAATAGATGTTTTTTTTTTAACAAAACAAGGTTTAAATTTATCTTATAATAAAATTTATTTGTAAGAAAAACGAACTTCAAGAAATTGAAATTACACAAAAAAAAAATTACTGCGTCGTTAGACGTAATTACGTCTTTGTTTACTTATACACCTTATCTTAAAATTTAATAACAAACATTAAATTTTTTTCCTTGTTTGCATAACTTCCACGATCAGATCTAAGTAACGTTCCCTTAAATGGTAAACTGATAAAGATTTTCTTTGTTTATAGTAATTATATTAAATTACTGCGACGCGTTATGATGATCGAATTATAAAGGATGTTATTATTCTTTGTTCTAATATTAGATAATACAGGTATATGCAAGTTTTATGTTTTGTTCATTCGTTGTTTCGTACTAAATTCAAATTTAATATGAACTCTCATTATTTCCATATTTTTTTCTTACTATGAATATGGCATTATTATGACGCATCTCCATTTCCTTGTGATTAATTTTTACCTTAGTCGTAGAATTGAAAGAACCTCAGTAAAGACCTACATATTAGTCGAATGGTGAATTGGAATCGCACGAAAGCATATAGTTTATTGATGATAGACTAACTACTTTTCCGGGTTTACTGATGAAAGGCATTCAAATTGTTGGAGGGTATCCAAATTAACGGAGAATAAGTTATTAAAATTGCGCGTTAAAGTACTTCAGTTATTACTAAAGATAGATTTTTGAGATGTTGTTTTGTTATTTTATTTATGTCCATTGAATTGTCGAGAAAAATTAAATACGAAACATAATGAAATTTGTAACATTAATGAATTAATAAATATAACCGATTTATCGATTTATCAAACTAATTATGACCGATCATAACTCGATACCCAGAAACCAAAAATTTGTTTTCTTTGTCCCTGAGGTTAATAAAATTTATACCATATACCGGTTAAATGGTTATGTGTAATACACTCTGCGAAATTCGATTGTTGTCGAGATAGGAAATATATTAAATTCAATGAAAAGTAAATTCTTTTAAATAAAGACATGATGAAAGTTTGATATTTTTTCCCCTGGTTAGATATAACATAAAACATGGATAAGTAAAGCTGGCCAATTGGTCAATTTTATGATTGAACTTTATTACTTTATTATTTATAATTAATATATACATAAGCATAATATTTTTTGAATTTCACTAAAGCAATGGCTACCGTCCGATTTAAATAATGATTGAAAAAAAAAAAAGAATTTTTTTTTTCATTCTCCATTCGTCATTATTTTAAAATTATGTAGTTGAATCATTTCCTTAGTATTTGTTGGAGCCGAAATTTCTTATAAAAACCTCACTTTGAACTTTTTTGATTTCAACATTCCATATTCAATTCAAAACATACATTTACATTTAAACATTGATAAAAAACCTAAACTTGAAATCTAAATTACTCCAATTAAATATTATATATTTATCTAAATTAATCTTTTTTTTAAACCAATTTTTTTTTTTTTATTCTTTTTATTTTGTTTGCGAATATGAAAGCATTCCTAATTATTACTCTCCTTCTTACTACTAAAGCAACTGAAAGTTTACCGTTATTTGAAAATAACAATAATCTTGTTTATTATGATCATGAGCAGAACCGCCATGATCCCTCAGAACTTTTTAATCGGTGTCACGGAAAACTCAATTTTATAAAAAGAAGTCCTCTTCGGTTTGTTAGTAAAGAAAGGAAACGTGAAGATTCCATGGAATTTCCTGAAGTTGAGCTTAATTATGATCAAGAAATTATCGAAGACAATGATCAAGATGTAACAAAACGTAGTCCTCTTCGGTTTGTTAGTAAAGAAAGGAAACGTGAAGATTCCATGGAATTTCCCGAAGATGTGCTTAATCATGATCAAGAAATTATCGAAGACAATGATCAAGATGTAACAAAACGTAGTCCTCTTCGGTTTGTTAGTAAAGAAAGGAAACGTGAAGATTCCATGGAATTTCCTGAAGTTGAGCTTAATCATGATCAAGAAATTATCGAAGACAATGATCAAGATGTAACAAAACGTAGTCCTCTTCGGTTTGTTAGTAAAGAAAGGAAACGTGAAGATTCCATGGAATTTCCTGAAGTTGAGCTTAATTATGATCAAGAAATTATCGAAGACAATGATCAAGATGTAACAAAACGTAGTCCTCTTCGGTTTGTTAGTAAAGAAAGGAAACGTAAAGATTCCATGGAATTTCCCGAAGATGTGCTTAATCATGATCAAGAAATTATCGAAGACAATGATCAAGATGTAACAAAACGTAGTCCTCTTCGGTTTGTTAGTAAAGAAAGGAAACGTGAAGATTCCATGGAATTTCCTGAAGTTGAGCTTAATCATGTTCAAGAAATTATCGAAGACAATGATCAAGATGTAATTAAACGTAGTCCTCTTCGGTTTGTTAGTACAGAGAAGAAATGTGACCATTCCTCAGAAAATCCTGAAGATGCGATTAATTATAATCAAGATCATTCCTAAGATATGATTAATCATGATGAAGACAATTACTCCCCAATTCACTTTCCAAAATTGATCGGCGATGTAGTATAAGTGAACAATCATATTATTCATTCATTTTTCGTTGTGTTGTTTATTTACATTACATTTGTTATATTGTTATATTCTAGATTTTATTTTAGACAAAGTATTGTTACGTTTTAGATTTTTACACTTTAGACAAAGAATCGGTACATTATATACTTTAGACAAAATATTATTATATTTAAATTTATTTTAAAGTATTAGTACATAAAATATTACATATTATTAATAAAATGGTAATCCCTTGAACTAACACATGAATCCAGATGTTTATCTAGTTATCACTTTATTTTTTGGCATCTGATGTTATACATGCCATCGTTTCTTAATTGTTCCTCTACTCTGATTCTTTTTTTTTTTGCGTTGAACGGTTTTGTCTTTAAAGTACTTGGTTGTCTCACTGCAACAATGCGCACTAGTAAACACAAACACTTTATATATGTATCCTCCGGTTTTCCATGCATACATCAAGCTCAAATTGCTTTTCACACTAAAACTGACAAAGGCAATAAGGCATTTCGTATTTGTTAATGTCATATGCGCCACAGTCGCTTGGTTTGTATTGGCATTCAGTACTTTAATGATACGTAAAATATGTTTCGAAAGTAAAGATGATTTTAGTATATATTATATATATAGTTTTTACTTTAGCGTGAATAAAATAATTTTTTTTTTTAAAAAAAAAATAAAATTAAGATTCAAAGTATCTGAACGTTTTATATTAGAAAAAAAAAAAGAAGTTTTTAGAATTTTATTAAATAAATTTCTCGATATAATAATAATAATAAATTGTAGAAAAAAATTTTAATATTCAAAAAATTTTCGTGAGTCTTAAATGCGTAAATAAACATACAATAAATATCCATTTAATAAGATTCGAAATATAGTTTCAAAAAAGAATATATTAACATCATTTTTTCAATTATACTTCTTTTTAGTAAGATAAAGTAAAGTACATTATATTGCAATAAAGTTGATAATATGAATTTCCTTCATTAGTTAAAGATGATTTTTATTATTCACTTCAACTTTTGATACGACATTCAAAGCAAAAGAAAAGTAATAAGGGACTCTTTAATATATTCGAAACAACTTGGATAAAAATACGGTTGGTTGATAATGATTTTTTGTTTACGCGACATAAAAAAATGGAAAAACTTGGAAAATTGATTAACTCTTATATATAAATAACAGTTCCGCTCACCGATGAGTTATTTGGACACGACAATTTTATTTCCGCAGCAGGTCAACTAATTTAAAGAACAACAGATTGGAATTCTTCTGCGTACTCGAATTCAAAAATTTATAATTTAAATAAATATTAAATTCTCTTTCAGTTACGGCCATACACAGTGAAAAGCACCGGAACCCGTCCGATCTCCGAAGTTAAGCCACTGATGGCCCAGTCAGTACTACGGTTGGGGACAACGTGGGAATACTGGGTGCTGTAACTTTTTTTTTTTTTTCACATCGAATATTCCCTAACAAGGAATTTTCAGGTATCAGGAATCTTTAATTAAACGAAATGAACGATTTTGTTTTTAGAATATGCTAGATTTTTGTACCATTTTTTTATCCTACTTTCTATTATGTATTTATTTTCATTTATTTGTCTATTTTATTTTATTTTTCTATCTTTGTTGTAAAAAAACCATACTAACTTTACCTAAACAATAGGCACATAATTATTCTTTGTTTTAATATAAGCAATAAAAATTCTACAAAATTGTATATAAACCATATACATATCATCAATAAATGATTCTTCCCAAAGATTAGTTCTCTCAGAAATAAAAATAATATTGATATATTTACATAGGATATAAAAGTAACATGACAATAAACTTCCAGAGCGTTGTACTTATGGAAGGAATAAATTTATAGAAATGTAGAAAATTGAATTACATCATCTTTTGCCAGTACAGTATAGCGAAAATCTTATCTTTATTCACTATATGTAATTAGTGAATTCCCTTACTATAGTGAATTTTAAATTTTCAGCCCATGAGGTTCATTATAGCGAGGGTTTACCATATAATGGTTTTAAATATTTTAAGAATTTCCTGAAATAACTGAAGTTTTTTGTTGATTGTGCGAATTTTTTTTTAATACGATTTCTTGTGAGTAAATAATAAATATTTTTTTCTTTCTAAAACAATTCTATCGAAAACAGATCGTTAATAACAAAAAAAAATTACCCGATTTATTCTTATACTAACCACATTTTGAGAAAAATGTATTTTAATAAAAACAATTTTTAAATTCGTTTAATTTTTCTTATGCATCCCAAAAAAAAGTACAGATATCTATAAAATTTATTTTAATTCTTATGTCAAATAAAAAAATAATTTCATAAAAAAAAACATATGTTTGGCATATAGTTTATATCATAGAATCCAAATTACTATGTAGGTAGCATATATCTGTTGTGGCGTAAAACTTACATTGTAACATTACTATATTTATAATTATTACTAAAAAAGACGTGTTTCCTTAACTAATATTATTACTAAAAAAGAGCGTATCCATTTATCTATCATTTGAGAAAAATAATAAAAATACTTTACTCACAATTTGAAAGAAAAAGTTAATAAATAATTCTTGATTTAAGAAAAAAAATATAACAAATGATTTCTAAATTTAAAAAAAAAAAATAACAAATAATTCTAATATTCCCCGAAAAACTCCCATCTGAGGAAAGAATAAATGAATAAATATCTTAATATTTACTAAAAAGTAATAAACAGAAATGTGATTTAAATTTGAGAACTGAAGAGAAATTGATAAAAATTTTCATATAGTATGAATTTTTTTTGGGGGTTTTTTTTTGTGTTTTGTACGAAACTATATGAAAATTATCAATTTCAATAATTTTGAGACTCACAATCATCGCGATTAAGGAATTGGTTAAAATCCCATTCCGATTCCGATTCTTGAAGATTTCCATAGTAATTGTATGACTGGTCCATCAAGGAAGGCAAGTCGTCGTTGAAAAACAAGTTATCTACTAGATTGGCCGGTTGATTAATATTAACATGATCGACCGTTTCTTCTGATGGATTGTTTTTCTGTTTTTTCTGTTTAGTTTTTATTGGTCCTGGTTGGTATTTATAGTAAGGATATTTTATTGAGTGAAGCCTTTCTGCCATTCTTGCCATAATTTTAAAAAACTTTTTTACATCATCGGATTCTTTACTCCAACTGTCGGCAATATCTTTCGAAATTTCGGAAAATTCGGGTAATCTTTTACGTTCTTCCCTCTTAACGTTAAATAATTCGGCGTTTTTGTTTCTTCTGTATATCACAAATGAATTTTGTGGACGAGGAGCTCTCTTGATACCTTTTTTTGCGTTTCTTCGGGCATTCCGAGTTTTGTTGGAATTATTTATCAAGTATTCGACATCGAGAGTAAGTATTTGTGTCTCAAGCTTGATAAATTCTTCGATGGTCATATTTTCTACCGAGAGAATACCGTCTATTATGGACCGCCGTAATCCATACCAAATTTTGGGGGATTGACCTTGTATTGTGTTACGCGAATTTTTGCGCATGTGATTTCCGATATTATATGGTGATCCGATGAAATTCGGTACATTTGTGTACATGTCGATTTCCGGTGTTATGAGACGATTTACGCCGATATATGATTTGTGTATATCGGTTAACTATATTAAAGATATTGATTTTGTTTGATAGATTTACTTATATATCGTTTTTATAGTTATTTTATTTTATTTAGATAATTTATTTATATTATTTATTTTCTTTATTTGTATTGTTTATATATAAGATTTTATTAGAAGTTATTGTAGGGAAATTAGCTCAATAGTAATTAACCGTCTAAAATTATCATTTGTACTTTATTAAAAATGGCTTATAATCGTATTGTAATTGTATTGATATATTACGAAATCAATAACCCATCAATAGACATCTATAGATTAGATTTTGCCTTGATGACAGGAAAAAGAGATGACGGTTAGATAAAATAAGATATAAATACACCTTCCGCCAACTCTTTGATAGAGTAGTTACCATATAGCTATTTTTCTGTAGTTATTTTGTCGTTAAATATCTTTAAGATATATTTCCTATCCCTTTCTGTCACTTTTTATCACTTTGTTGTAAAGATCCGAATTTACACCTGTTTAATAAAATCGTTATATTTGGTCAATATTACACGTTGTTTCTAACAGTCATATAACAGTTGTTGTTATAACCATTGCGTATTTTCATTTATCGTATTTATAGTGTTTACCTTGACAATTCTTAACGAACAATACCGGAAGTACCTTGGATAGGTAGTATTGAGTAAGAATTTTGTTGGTATTCGTGTAGTTATACGATATAAGTCATCCGCCATTCGTCCCTTAATTACCGTCATTATTCGGTAACAATTGTCATGCTGATTTTTATTATGTATTTTGTGCAATTTCTGGGCAAAATTAGATTCTCTAAATAATAAGATCGATAGAAAAAGGAACTTTTTTTCAGGGAAAAAATGGAGGATACTATACATAGGAGGGGTACTGTGTCCGCAAAATACGTAATAGTTTTTAAAAAAGATTTTTTTTTTTAATATATAATGATATGATTAAGTAAATCTTCTAAAATCTTTATTTATTATATATATATAATATATATTTGATGGTGGTGATGGCGGATCAAGGGTATCGCTAACGCAAAATAAATATAAAATAAAATAATAAATTATTTTTTTTGATTTTTTTTTCTTAAAATTTAAAATTTTTAAAATTTGAAAAATTTTATAAAAAAAAAAAAACCAAATATTCTCACGCGCCTTTTTATAAAATTATAATAAATTATAATATATAACTTACAATAGACAATGGCACACACGTGCGTGCAACGTATCACACAATAAACACCTTTTTATATCATGCTTAAATAAAATATATGAAAAAAGCTGGACAGTGTTTCGGACTTCAGTAATTTCATTATAATAAATTATTAAAAACTATCCAGAAATCCATCCGAAACTCCAAAGACTTTATATTATAGTTTCGGCTGGATGTAGAGATTAATTTTTTATCATTTTTTAACTTAATTTTGATTTAAGAGAAAACTTAACCTAGACCGGGGGGTTTAGGCTTCTTATCCTAGACCTGGGAGTCCAGACCTCTTATCTTAGACCTTGTGGCACAGCTGATCATTATCAGCCTCATTTGTTTATTTACCACCATTTTTTTTTTTTCACACGAAATAAACGCTGCTCTTTCATTTGGTTTTTTTCTTTATATTATTTTTTTCTACACAAATTATTTTTCTTTTTTTTTATAATAAATATTTTTTTATTACCATTATTTTCATAATAGTGTTTATTAGAACAATAAAAAATCTTTTTTATCAAAAATTTTAAATCTAATAAATACAAAGTGTTCTTTCTCTAATAATTACGCTTTAACACTTGCAATAGGTAAGTTTATTCTGGTTTCTTTGAGTTTTGGATTAAATTATTACAGTATGTATTGTTTGAAACTATGAATGAAGAGAAACGTTGGTTAAGCGAATGGTATTCTTTCAACTAAAGTTTGTGATTTTACTAACATGCTTTTTGTAGATTTTCATGGTATAATTTTAGCATTCTAATTAAATTAATTGGCTTTGGTTGGTATGTTGAAAATAAAATTGTTTGAATACTCGTATTTACAAAATTTCAATGGAAATTTGTGAAATATTTTCACTTTAATAATTAATAATGGTATTTTTTTTAATACAAGGTTATTTTGTAAGGAGAGAATAAATAATAATATAATAGATAATTCTTTACCCAGCTGTCAAATATTTGATAAACATTTCTAATATTTGGTTTAGTTTAATTTTTTGTCATAAAATATTCCAAGAAAAATGCTCATACTTCGTATCTCGTTGTGAAATATTGCTTTAATAAAAAAATTAATTTAAAAATCTCGAAAAATTTCTATAAATGTTATGCGCGTATTAGCGTATAAGTATTATAAAAAAATTTATGAAAATTTCTAAGATAAAAATGTTACGCGCGTATTAATGTATATATTATAAAAAAAAATTTATGCTGATAAAAATGTTACGCGCGTATTAATGTATATATTATAAAAAAATTTATGAAAATTTTTCTAAGATGAATGTTATGGGTATACAGTACATCGTGAAAAATTTTCTAAGATAAATGTTATGCAAAAATAAGTCTTGTCCAATGGATTTCGGTGGCTGATTAAACCAATCATATTTAAGGAGGGTCTAGGATAAGAAAGCCTGAACCCCGGGGGTCTAGGATAAGGACGCTCATGAAAAAATATTCCTGAAACACTTCTTTCCAATGGGTATTTTGGCCAGAATTATTATTAAATCCCATATTAATGGTAAGTTCAACGAAATTCTGTACTCTATCTTCATAATATTTCAATTTTGGACAGCATTAAAAAACCAATTAAACATGTCCAATATCCAACACTGACTATAAATATAGTCTTATAAATTATAAAAAATAAAAAAAAAGAGATATAAATTATGTTTAATAATCAGAAAAACTGGGTTATAATAAATAGTTCGAACAGTTCAAAACTCAAACTTTTGGGACAGTTTTGGATATTTGGATAATTTTGGACATGTCCAAAACTGTCCAAAACTCAGATCGATAAAGCCCATTCTTAAGAAGAAATTTGTACCGAGCGCGAAAGCCAATAATATTTAAATGTTTTTTCGCTCTGGACTAGAATTAGGGCTATGATTTAACGTTTAAACTGATTACCCTGTATAATGGTTTCACTATTAATAATTTTGTGGCTTTGTTTTGTTACAAATTATTGAAGAATGTATTCGAGTTACGTACATTTTATAGACGTTCTGTTAAATTCTCCATATAGGAATTTGTTCAACGTGCATTATCCTGAAAAACTGAATCAATAATTCCGAAATCTCAATTCTCGATTTTTGGTCGTTATCGATTCAGGATTCCCCAAATTGCTACTACTTAATCTCCGAAATACAAAATTTAAAAATCATCATAATCCCGAACTTTATAATCCCGAAAAAGTTAAAAATCCCAAAACTTATCGTTATTAACTGAAATTTAAAATATCAAAATAAAACGTAAAATAAATAAATTATTAAATATCATTTAAAAAATTAAAATTAAAATAGTTATCAATTTTATTCAATTCTTTTTTGAAATCAATTTTAATATTTCATTACTTTTGTAATTTTCACAAATTATAAAAATTTCCATTAAATTCATTAAATTAATAATTTATTAAAATTTCGCATTTTAACTTATATATAAAAAAAATTTTTTTTAATCTCTTCGGACAGTTGTTCCAAATTTCCCCTAAGTTACGTGGCGATGTTGGTAAATTGGTCGCTCAATTTTCGATCAAGATACACAAAATTCAACCTCCCTATATTGTGAAGCCATAGTGAAAGGACGCGAGATCCCATTGATTCTCGATAATTTTGATGTAATTAAATCAATAATATAAAAAAAAATTTTTTCAGGATTTTGTATTCAAAGTTATCGGAATAATTATGATATCTTCATCGAATTATGAATATAAAAGGCTTTCTCAATTATTGAGAGCTAGTATTTATGAAATTCGGATTTTAAAGATATTGTGACTGATGGCATTTTTGAATTTGAGAGAATTTTTTTTTTTTCGATCAATTTAAATCATGTGATGTTATTTGACACATAATTGGCATTAACTTTTTAAATTCTGAAATTTCGCATGTACTGTGCTTTATGACAACTGAATTAAATTAACAAAATTTTATTATTATTATTTTTTACGATACAATTTTTTTATAATGGCGTTAAAAATATCGGAAATATAGAAAATATAATACAATTTAATTTCTCTATTTATCAGTGGAGAGATGAAAACAATTTAAAAAATGGAGTTAAATATAATCCAACTTAACTTTATCATCAAAAACGAGGAATTCAACTAATTCGATTTTCGATCTTTAATTGACCAGATTTTGATTATTGAATTTTGTCTAGTCTTAACTATAATGCTCTATAAAAAATTTTTTAGAAAATTGATCACATGTCTGAGTTTTTCTGGAGTAAAAACCAGAAAAATGAAAAATGGTCATTCATCGGAGTTTTTCCAGAAAATTTTTTATAGGGATGGTGATGTTTATCTTGTACTTTATGAAATTACATAATTCTGTTAGGATTAGAAAATAGATAATGAGAATTTTGGTGATATTAAAACTTAAAAGCATATTATTATGGAAGAATAATTAACAAAGCATTACCCTCACCTTTTAATTACAAAAAAAAAGAGAAGTAAATTTAATTGCGTCTCCATTAATGATAAGAATCCGGTTTAGCAATATTATCTGCACATACATTAATCAATACTTATTGAATAACGATAATTACTGTAAGAGCATTAATAATAAGTTGAAATTGAAATTTATTAGAATTCTCGCTTTATTGCATTATTGCACAAAGCGGATAAAAGGATAAAGGATTCACTAATAAAGGTCTTACTAAAATGTGACAAAAAATTTTTTGAAAATTAATAATATAAAATTAAATTATTTTAACCGAATAATTAAAAGCTAAATGTAAAAAAAAAACTATTTCTGGAATATCAATTTTGAAATCATATTACCGAAGAGGTAACTTTAAATTTTTTTCCGAATAAATCTTCCACTTTATTAATCAACATTCACTTACAGTATTAATAATTGTACGATGATACGAAATTTGGTGGACAGAAAAATAAAGAAAATTTGGTTCACTATACTAAATAAAATCCAATCCAATATAATAAAAAATAATCCAATATAATAAAAAATAATCCAATATAATAAAAAATAATCCAATATAATAAAAACATAATCCAATATAATAAAAAATAATCCAATATAATAAAAACATAATCCAATATTAGAACTTTTAATTGTTAAAAGACATCGTGAAGACACATATCAATACAATGATGTCAATGATTTGTTTCGATGTCTCCAAGTTTTTTGAATGGGCACAACTTCACGTATTATAAGATGTAAAGAAAGGATTTTACCTCAGAAAAATTAAATATATTACATCACACATCAACCTCATTTCTTTAATGCTTATACCTTTCGCGAGACAATGGTGTAATACTTGTCGATTGGATTTAACACGTGCTGTATATAACGTGATAATAGACCAGTAGAAGCCAGCGAACCAGTAGAAACAAGTGAACCAATAGGATAAAATATAATAATAAGAGAATAACATGCTCAAAGACTATATTCTTGCATATCCTGGAGAGTCGAGAGCTTCCCCCCTCTCATACCGACTACCCCTCGCTATAGAAAAAAATGAAGGTCAAGCCCAAATGGTTAAGTGAGAGGTAATCCAACGTTCGAGTCGAGTCAATCCAACGTTCGAGTCAATCCAACGTTCGAGTCAATCCAACGTTCGAGTCAATCCAACGTTCGAGTCAATCCAACGTTCGAGTTAATCCAACGTTCGAGTTAATCCAACGTTCGAGCTAATCCAACGTTCGAGCTAATCAAACGTTCGAGCTAATCCAACGTTCGAGTTAATCCGACGTTCGAGCTAATCCAACGTTCGAGTTCATCCAACGTTCGAGTTAATCAAACGTTCGAGCTAATCCAACGTTCGAGTCGAGTTTATCCAACGTTCGAGCTAATCCAACGTTCGAGTTCATCCAACGTTCGAGCTAATCCAACGTTCGAGTTCATCCAACGTTCGAGCTAATCCAACGTTCGAGTTCATCCAACGTTCGAGTTAATCAAACGTCCGAGTTAATCCAACGTTCGGTAATCCGACGTCCGGGTCAAAGATATGTACCCACGGAGAAGCTCATCTTTGATAATAGTTCACCGCCGAAATTTCCAGTACTATGTAAGCCAAAATGATTTTTTTAAATAAAAAATAATTTTTAAAAATGATAACGACAATAATAATAAATTTCAAAATACTGAAACCAAAAAAATAATTTAAAACTAAATCGGTTGGAATTACCAAACTAGCAAGAAGTAGAAATTCGCAGAACCAAAAGAATTTGGGAAATTGCATTTTTTTTTTTATAGTTTTGCAGTAAAGTTTTGCAATCGTTATTCCCAGTGCAATCACTTCCAGTGATATAAGAAGCAACCCTTCTTAGACTTTTCAAACTACCAAACTTCTTTGGATGTGTCGAATTTGCATCTTTTTTTGCAGTTTTGCAGTAACGTTTTGAAATCGTTATTTCCAGTGCAATCGTTATTTCCAATTATATAAGAAGCAACACTTTTTAGAATTTTCAAAATATCTATCGAAACTTTTTTCGAAACTTTTTTGAATGTATGTTTGGAATATATATTACATTATATCATCATGTCACTTCATCATGTCACTTCATCATGACTCTTTCATGATAAGAAAACACTGTATTTTCAAAAAAAAAAAAAAAAAAAAAAGAATTAAAATTTTTGTGTGTTTGTAATACATACAGTACATAAAAAATTTAATTTTATCATGTGATTGAAAAATGAAATAAATAATTTCAACCCCAGATTATTTTTGTAATAAAGTTTTTTATAAAAAATATTCGGTGAAAAAAAATTTGTGATTAATAATTGCATATTCTTCACGAAATTTTCGCATGGAAATACATCAACCGATTTAATGTATGCTTTATTACTTTGGGGTAATGCATTATTAAATATTATTTTTTTTATTTTATAAAAAAAAAAATAAAATAAATAAAATAAAATAAAATTAAAACAATATAATATGGAATTTTAGGTGGATTGGCTGAAAATCTTTAAAATCTTTAATCATGGTTATTGGTTCGTGCTTGAAAAAAAAAAACAAATAATAATAATAATAATAATAATAATAATAATTAATAATAATTAATATACTACATAGTATATACTATACATACATACATACACATTAACCCCAGAATAACATAATAAAATAACTTAATTTAGTAAAGTTATTATAAACCCCAAAAAAGAATGTTA